GTCGGCAATGTCAATGGCGGTGGTGGTGGTGGTGGTGGCTCTGCAGATTCCTTCCCGGAAAGTTGTCTTCTTGTAAGTAATTTCATACCTTTGATTATTTCTGAGGTCTTCTTTTTTTACTTTTTAGTATTTGTTATACTTGAATATTTAATTATTTATATGTTTGTTGACTATTTTATCCTCAGAAAGACACAAAACCTCATCAGCCAATTCTTTATGAAGAAGAAGATTTAACCTTAAAAAAATCAAAACCAAGATCCTTTGAAGCGCCTAGCCCTGATTCAGTTCTTGAACGCAGAATGTCCAGCTCAGCAGGCAAAACAATCTCATTCAGAACCGAAATAGCAATTCCGGTCAGGACTCGAACGAAGCGGGCAAGGTCAACCCTGACCGAGAATCCATGGTCAAAGTCAACTCTACCAATCCCTCTTCAAAAAGTCAAGGAAAAGAAAAAGAGAAGAAATTTTGGTCAACAACAAAATGGTAACAATGAAAACAAGAAATGTAGCCATTGTGAGATAACTAAAACCCCACAATGGAGAGAAGGCCCAATGGGCCCAAAAACACTTTGTAATGCGTGTGGGGTCCGCTACAGATCCGGGCGGCTGTTCCCGGAGTACCGCCCGGCGGCTAGCCCGAGTTTTGTCCCGGCTTTGCATTCAAACTCTCACAGGAAGGTGGTGGAGATGAGGATGAAGGGGGGAGGAGTGAATGATGATTATTTTAAAAAGAAAGTTTGGAGCTCCAATTTAATAGACACTAGTTGATTTTTTGTTAGTTGTTGTTTTTTGAGCTTGTGTAAGACTTAGAAAATTAGATGATTGTTATGATTTTATTAAATAGGTGATCGTTTGTTTGATTTTTGGTTCACAATTTTGGCAAAATGGATATATTGATTCTTTCAATGATGATGAGTGGAGTTGTGCTAGGAGAAATCTAACATTTGGGGTAGGATTTTTTTTAAGTTAAGTGTTTGGTTATATGTTTTATGTGATCCAAAAGATAAAATTACAAGGCTTGAACTTGGTAACAAAAGTACTCAAAAAGTTAAAAACTTGTAAAATCTTTGATAAGAAGTGTTTATATCCTTAGAATGACTTGCATAATGTTTCAAACTAAACTGCATGTGTGTACACTAGAGGCATGTATTTGTATTTGAGCTCTATATTGGTCATATTTAATGCTCCTGTAAATTTCAGTCTATCTAACGTGTTGTAAGTTTCAATCATCTAAAATGCATGACATTAAAATCTCTTTAATATTAGATTATTTTCAATTGGTAAACTTTCTCATATGGATTTTTTCAAACATTAAGGTATGTTTAGCAAAAAATAGCCGGAAGCCGGAGTTGTTTTTATTTGTGTAAATGTATTTGGCTAGGCTACATATTATTTTAAGAACCACTATGTTTGTCAGCGAGTTTTTTGGAGCTTCTAGCTTTTAACTTTAACAAAAAACTCGATATAAACAAAAAAAATTGTTTTGGAGCACGAGTTTTTAGCTTTTTGTTTAAAAAAACAAAACAAAACAAAAAACAACAGGTCTTTTGGAGTGGTTATCACTAACCATAAATATAATGAATGTGATATCACTGTCACCCTATCAACGTACAAAACCATATTAAATTGGTATACTCACAACTAAACATGACTGTCTTTTTTATCTTTTGATTATTATTGTTTTTTTAATTAATTGAAGTAAAGAGAGGTAGAGCATATATATATATATATATATATATATATATATATATATATATATATATATATATATATATATATATATATATATATATATATATATATATATATATATATATATATATAAAAAAGTGGGTATGGTGTAGTGGTGACTATATTTCACCCGGAGTATATTGTGGTGCTTCCATATTTCACCACATTATCATAGGATGACATTCACATCCCATCATATTGCTACATTTGTGGTTAGTGGTGATCATTTTAAAAAGTTTAAAAATTACTTTAATGTAGTATTTAAGAAAAACTCAGAAAAAATATATATTAAGCTTTTCTTAATCAATTTGCAAAATTGCCATTAATTTTAGATTCTTGCCCTTTTATGTAATTTTACACACATCAAAAGTTTTATGTTATTTTTATCAAATACTTGTATAACATATTAAAGTTATTGATTCTAGCTACTAACTATCATTTAGTTTTGTTAAACACACCTAGTAATTTTCTTACAATAGCCATGTATGATACTTAAAGTTTATTTTGGATTTAAAAAAAAAAAAAAAACTTTATGTTCTAAAATAAAAACTTTAGGTTGTGTTTGGAGTAAACCGAATTTATTGCAATATAGTCTTTGATGAGGCGATTAAACTAGTTTATTAAATTCTTTTTTTTTAAACCATTTGAGATAATAAATCCATGAGGATTTTTCCATAAAGTGCAAATATACTCTTATATAGTCATTTCCCGCTAAAGTCCTTTTATGTCATCTAGTCTATGCTATCAATAGCGCGCTATAGCAGTGCTATAGCAGCGCTATAATGTTTTGCGATGTTACTGAAACGTTATTTTGAAATAGCGTTTACGAATAACGGTGACGCTATCAGCGGCGCTATTGACCGTGAATCTCGTTAGCGTTATAACAACGTTACACCCACTTTTACAATTTTGTACATATTGGGCTACTTTAACGAAGAAAAAAATGATTGTGGGTTATTTCAGTAATAAATCTTTATTTTCTTAACTAGCCTACTACACTTTTCTCATCTGTTTTTGTACATAGAAACCACGAACAACTTGAGCTGCGATGACATTTTCACACTTTTTAGTTTCTATATTATTATATTAAAATATTATATATAGATTATGTTATATTTTTATATGATTTTTTATGATATTAATTTTATATAGTATTAATAATCTAATATATAAATTTTGTATAAATATATAATATAAATTATACATAATATTATAAAACTGCTATACCACTGCTCTACCACCGCGATAAACACGATTTCAAATAGCGGCACGTGACCACTATTGAAATCTCAATCGCGATAACTACTTAGCATCTAGTTATCAACAAATTTTATTAAACATTATTTTTCAACTAAAATTTAGTTATTTCAGCTAATCTACAAAAAACATCCTTTAATCTCATACTCTCAGATAATATTTATTTTTCTTAAAACTGAGCTTTTCTTTAAACCTAAAAGCTCAAAACTCCAAAGCTCTTAAAAGCGCGTCCATAATCATCGTTCGCAAAAATCTTTTACAAAGGGGGGAAAGCTATTATACTTCCAAAGATACAAATGTTCACCATCAAAAAATTTGTGATCAAAGTTTCAAATACTTTGATTTCCAAAATAAGCAAAATACAAGTATAAACACTTATCTATCTGAAAAAGCAGATAATATCAACTGAAATTACATAATAGGCGATTAAAAGAAATGGTTGCTAGAAAACAACCAGACAGCTCGAGCTACCTACCAAAACCACCCAAAAAGACAACTCAGGCTGTTAGGCAGCTTGAGATGTCACCGAGCATACCCAAACTTCTATTTACTTTACTTTGTTTAATTCTAAAACATGTTTTTCATATGCATTCCATGTCTCAAATTATGTAGTTACTTTTGGGGATCAAACTTGTTTTATATGCAAGTATGCATTGTGTACCCCACATCATCCGGTTTGTATTAAGTCACAATTTAAATCTCCATCTGATACTCTGTGTTAATTCCTATTACACTAACACTAAAATTACCAATAAGTATTTTTACGAATAATAACAAAACAAGAAACTTAAACACCCCTACAAAATTGGTTTACAAAGTAGTTAACTGTCAATCCCAAACAAGTATTACAAAATACAAAGACTGCAAATGTGGTAATGTAAATGAGCTGAGGGAAAGAGAAATATGCAATCAAAACACCACGAGAAAGTTAGAAACAATGTACATACATATTTTGGAAAATTGTCAACTATTTGCAACTCCCTCCATTTTGATTTTCTTATTATTGGATAGATGAATGCTCAGTAACTTCTTATAGCACTCTTGTGACAACTTCTTGTTTCTTTGTTTCTGTTCATCAAATCTCATTTTGATTGCTTTTGGATCTAATCTTACGAGAATATGAATCTCAACCCTGGTTTCATTTTCAACCAGTTTTCATAATTTTGGATGCAAAGTAGGCTAATGCTTTGTTGCCAATTGTTAACGATCAAAAACTTATTCAATCAACATAAAACATAAAATTGACGAACAATAGACGATATATCAGTTATTTGAAGAAGGCAACAGGCACAATCACATGACTAAACCATAATATCATGATCATATTAATGAAAACTCATGTTATCAGTAATACATGATCCAGATCAAACTTACAAAACACCGATTGACGATATCCTCTATCCAAACCCTAAAATTGATAGCGATAAACAAAAATCAGGCCATAAGCAATGTTGATAACAATGAAACTAGTTACGCATAAAGCGTTCTTACATGATTCGATGAAATTTAATTGTAGTAGAGCTCAAGCCCCATCCCATCGTGAATCTCGTAATCCTGGAGAGTGATATGATCCTTATAGATAGTGTACCACTTCTGAATCCTGATCTTATCGGCGCGAGTTCCCGTCTGAGCTGCCACAAGCTTCTTCAGGTCGCCGATTGTGTCATCTTCGTTGCACTTCACTCGAACCTTCTTCCCCAATCTGTCATTCAACACCACCTCGATCATTTTGTTCGATTCAGAGAAAACAAAATCCCCAACCCCAATACGTAATAAACAGATTTTTTTAGAATGAGAAAAAAAACCCAAACTTGTTTGCTTTTATAGGCGCTGGTGATTACTTGGGGAGCACGATTCGAGAAGGTTCCGAGCGTGAGGGGTGGTTTTGAGCGTTTGTTTGTCCACGTGTAACAATTCAGCCCGCTCAAATGTGTGGCTAATTATAATTATAATTTGGATTAAATACAACCATAATTTAAATAAAAATAAACTTTTTCCAACACAACTAGGAAATGTAAATAATGATGTCTTGTAGAATGTAGATGACCAAAAATACAAAAATAATAATACAAAGGGAGGAATATAAACTAATAAAAGTATAAAACCTCCCCATAATCTGTTAAAAGACATATCTAGAAACAACAAAGAGAAAATAACATCCAAAGTAATAATAATCAAGTTGTCAACATCCCAAATTAACCTAACCCAACAACAACTATGTCCATTTTCAACAAAATTATACTTTGTACATCCATCCATCCATCCATCCCCTTTAATACAAAACCTGTCATATCATATCACTATCGCTGTCACTGTCACTCAGAAACAGCAATTTCTTGATCCACCCTCCAATAATTACTATCATTAAACTCCTTCGGGTCACTAACATTCTCTTTCTCGGGCCCACCAGGTACAACTTTCCTCTTCAACGCCCCCGCTTCCCCCACAATCCCTTCCTTAAGCGCTTTATCCATCGCCTTTTCCGACCCGTCCAATTCCAATTCTACCCCTACAAACTCCACATCTTCTTCAAACAACGAAGGCACCGGCGTTGGGGTTGGCGTTGGCGTTGGCATTGGCGTTTCTACTGGTGTTGGAATGTCAACATCAGGGGTATTATTGTAATCTTCTTCAAACGGGTTGACCCCGGACCCAGGAACCGGAACCGGGATTTCAACATTTGACGGCTCTTCCCATCCCACCCATTCGGGCATCGGTCTGTCTGCAAATAAATCTTCGTCGTTTTCTACATAGTCTTCACTGAACGGGTTTGGGCTTCGGGTAGGGGCATTATTGGAATTTTTGATATTGAGAAAATCTTCATCCGCCCCCACCACCACGTCGTCGTGATCCTCATTGGTGGTTGCCGCCCCGTTCAAGTTGATTTCGTCCATTGTTTCCGGTGACGTGGCGGTTGTGTCTCCCCCCATTTTATCGTCTTGGAAAGCAAACCAATTTGAATTTGTAAACAGATTGCTGAAAGGAAAGAAAAAAAAAGATTATTAATTTATTATTATATTAAAATCAATGAAAAATGAAAGTTTGTTGCTATTTATATTTTATAGATGATTCTAGATTCTTTTACCTCCCTTGGTCATCACCCAGTCTCAAGGATGATATCACAACTTCAGCAGATTCATTGTCAAAATAATTCTCCTATACAGTAAAATGTTATAAATATAATATACAAAATTATAATTAACAAATAAATGAAAGATTTAGTACCTCATCATCTCTCCCAAGAGTCCCATGACCCTGATATATAAATAAAGAGTAAATAAAAAGCATAAACATTCGCATTTAAATTTTTTTTAATTTAGAATTTTGAAGACATATATAATATAATATAATATACCTCTTCACCTTCCTCATTGTCATAGACATTATATCTAAATGCTTGGCTTAAATTATTTGCTAAAGCAGTAACATCATAGTCTCTATCATGATGAATGTCATCTTCATCACTATCCCTATTTCTATCATGAATTGAAGTTGGCCTCCTATATATATACATCAAATAAATAAAACATACGATATAATATTTTTATAAAAAAATAAAATACGATGTTATAGAATTATAGAAAGTTAGAAACACACACCCGCAAGCCCATCTGTAAACATTTTCAACCATATTCCGATCCTGTAGAGCTGTAGCTTGCCACTCATTCCATTCGCTACTTTCCTAAATCACAACAAGCATTTAAATACATAATATTTATATTCAAAATAATTATTTACTTACAAATTTATAATAGATAAAAAAACACCTGAATATGCATCTGAATGCGAGTATCAGTGTTTCCCAACTGCATGATTTTATTGGCAATGCGAGTGATGTGTCCTATGTTTCCAACTCTGAGTGGATTTCTTCCGGAAGCCAATGATGTAGGCTGATATATATAATAATAATAATAGAAATTGTTACAGGTTCGTTCAAAAAAATACATTATATGGATTTTTAAAGTAAAGAATAATTAATTACCTGATTAAGTTCTCCAGAAAGGAAGGGATTATTTTCTGTTTGAAGAATCTTGGCAAACAAACCACATCCTTGAAACAGATGATCAATTACAGTATTGTTTGTGCTTTCTAAACAGGAATATATTATACTCTCAATGTGATGATGCAAAGCATTATTAAAAGGGTACCTAGGTAAATTCAACAATTAAAATATGCACCATATATAGAGGTTAATTAATTAGATTTAGATCATGATTAATGGCTTACTCAAAGAAAAGATCAAGAACTCTTTGTATGGTTCCAGAGCTGATCAGCTCCTTTTCTGCAACTTCATTTCCAGTTTTCAATAAAACTGCAATGAACTCCACAATCTGCAAGTAGATATTTATTACTTATGGCTATTAAAAAAGACAAAAAAATATTATTAAAAAAAAAAAAATTAACCTTTAACCGATGCTTTCCTAGAGGAGGCTTCAATTGGCCATATGTAGTTGGCAAGACTTTTTCATCAAGTGACACGTTTAACAACTTCAACAAGTCACCTGAAAATTTTGACATGTCATCAAAAAAGCAAATGTTAGTTGAAAATAATTAGCACATGTTTTCTGTAAAGCATGAAAAAAATATGCACAAAACTCACTGAGTTGAGGCAACATTGCTCCTACAGTTTCTTGATTGACTTGAACAGGTGACTCATATACATGATGACCACGAAAAGAATAAAATGGAGGTGAAGGAAATGATCTTTTTGGATCCAATAAAGATATGCATACAGACAATGAGCTCACAAGTCCAGATTTTGAATGTGAATCATCCAATTCCAATGCATGACCAAAAATCCTTGAAACAAAACTGGGAGAGATAAAAACATTAAAAACAATATATAGTCATTAAACAGAAATTATAATATAATATATTAGAGGAATGAAGATATTAACCTTGAGGTAGAAAGTTTAGAGGCGAGAGGAGATGATGTGTTTCTAGTTATAGCACATAAAGTTTCTGCTGCATTTGAATGTACTTCAGGAGAACTCTGTTGTCATTATTTAGATATAAACAATCAATATTAATACATATATTGAAATTTGAATATGAAATTGTAATTGTACTCACTGATGGACTTAATTTATCCACAATCATCTCCAACAGATTGCTATCTGTTAACCATTGCATCACATCCACAGAATCAGGATACATATGATCATCAGCTCCAACAAGTCTTACCAAGACCTGTGTTTAGAAAAAGGAACAGAGTAATCATTTATTTTTAAGTTATAGAAATCATAAAGCTCAAAGTAAAAGTGTAAAACAGTTAATGTTGGATAGAAAATTTACTAACCTCCATGATTGATGTAATTCCAATCAAATCAACTAGCTGTTGGAAAACATTTTGATGCGCCTGTTGACATATAGAATAATTAGTTAAATGTGAAGTGTGATGATCAAAAAAGATATATTCAAGAATGAAAGTAGAAGCTGGAATGTCAAGAAGATAAGTTTACTCACTTGAACATAATTCATAAGTGGAACTGTCTTCCGCAACATGAGGCATATCACAACCTATGACAAAGAAGAAAATATGTCAACCAATAGTTACCCAAAATGCCCTTTCTCCAATTGATCTTTACAGTAGATGATAATACTTATATTCAATGCAAGAAGCACCTTGCTTTAAAGAACATACCTTGCTGAAGTACCCAGCCAACAAGGCACTATGGGAACGGGTTGGCTCCAGGAATGAGAAAAGTAGATCCATTAGCTGCAAGTTTTGGGTTTGAAGAAGGAAATCATGTGAGAGAATGTAATGAAGCATGTATTTATGTAACGACATCATATAAATAAAACTCAGAAACCTCTTCTTCTTCCACTAAAGTTTTGAAGATCACATCAATTTCACATGTAAAGATCTCACAAGCAATGAAAGGGAACCTAAACATGTACAATAAGTTATTAGACATAACCATCTTTGATCCAAATATATATTGTATACAACAAGACAATGGATTACTTGAAAATTCGTTTGCTATCAGCATCCGCTTGAGGCTCCTCTGTGATATATCGAAGTAATTGTTCAACTTGGACTCTGTCACGCAAGCTGAAAACAGGGATTTTCTTTAAGTATTCATGACATAGATTCTTGTCATCTTATTTGCAATTTAATAGATGGAAATATCACAACTGTGGGAAGTATTAGCTCATTTAGATGGTGGAGGAAAGAAGATGAGTCTAAATTACTAGCATAAAAGTGGAATTACAAGTTGATGAGGCGACTATTCAAAGCTTTGCATTCTTGGATGACATCTTCCTCGTCCAAGAGCTCTTCCAATGTGAAACTTTCTTTGTCCAAGATAGACTCAATCTGAACATATGACAAAAACTCAGTGATCATAAATAACGTAAGTTATTAAATGAAACTTAATCATTATTACTTCGATGCTTAACTATATGAAATGAAGTGGTACTTCTTTCATAGAGTTAATCACCTTAGCTTTAAGCTCTAACGAGTCCAATAACTCACCAAGGCATATTTATTAGTCAATAAACATAATAACAAGATCTATTCGAAAGGAAGAATAGAAGACGACTAACACAAATCACAACAAACACAACACTTGGTAATTGACAAATTTCAGATTAAATTTCAACAACTTGTGTGCAAATAAAAACAAATCGTGTTGTTCTTCTAACTTACCGGTGACGAAGCAGAGATAGCTGTAAGATGCCAAAACATGTTGAATTGTAACTGGATTTAGATCTGCAAAACCCTAGATGGGTAAAAGAGATGACGGAAACTAGAGATTAACGATTGGCCACTTGGAATAATTGAAGCAAAAGAGAACAATAACCCTAATTTTTGGATTTTTAGATGAAAAACAGTGAAATCGATAAATTTGAGAGAGATGAGCTCCAAAAAATTTCTCACAATGAGCCAAGAGAGATACGAGGGTTGTGCGAACGGGGCAAAGACAGGGGCAGGTTGCAAAAGTACAAAAAGGTCCTGATACTGATAGGCATTAACAACCCTGCGTGTATTGGACATTTATGTAATTTTACTGTTGCCCTGTTTCTTATACTAAATATTCTTTTAATTATTATTTTTCTTATTTTATAAGTAAGCATTATACAGATATATTAAGGTTAATGTTTTTTTTAAGAGATATATTAGGGTTAACGTTATTGTAACTCAACTATCGTTTTATATTTTAAAATGTTTTTTATGTTTTTTTTACATCCTAAGGTATAAACTCAACTTCTTTAGTTTTAAAAAATCTTTATTTAGAAAATGAAAAGGTCAGTTGATAACCACTTCCTAGTCAGCAAGTAAGAGTGTCATTACTCATCATCATCCCCTCCTTCCCACTTTATTCTTTGCTACAACTCTCCTTTCCCGACTAAAACCGCTTATCACTACCATCACCGACTGAATTGTTCTAATCTTTTAGCAACGCATATGTTACTAACGAAAAACAATCTGATTTTCGATACACAAGACCACGGTGTCAGTCTCAGTCAACAAAACCTTATAGTTCAATCTAATATGAATCCATGTTACACGGTAAGTGAAAGAAAGATCTTGCAAAAAAAGTTCAGTCCAATATGAAAACATGTATTTTGTTATCAGTTAACCGGTTGGTGTTCCCAACCCAGAATCGGTGTTCCAAATCGCCATTCCAATCTTCAATCAATGTGAATCAAGATATGATTAGAGCAATTTTAAATCGGTGAATATTCTGATCCGAGTCACGTTCTACAAGCGTTGGTAATAGAATCAACATTAACTATGATCCACTATCATCTAAGATATAAACACTGTTTGTATCCCTATTTAAGTGCATTAACTCCTAGGGTTGCCTCATTTGGCAATCTCCACCCTCTGAGATCTTATCCCACCCAAACCCCGGCATCCATATGTGTAACGCCTTGTCTAGAATCGTTTCCCATTTTGGTGTAGTGATTAGGGATTGGGTATTAGCGGGCTTAGGACCCTTGAAGAATTGAGATTAGACTCATAGGGTTGGATAATGTATTTTGGATGATTCGGGTATTCAATTTGTGTTTTGGAGTCAAAGTGTATTTCGGTAATTTGTCAGCTTGGGCTTTTATGGAAATCGAAGGTTTGTTCGGGGTATCGTAAGGCAGGTATGGATTGATTAAAGTGTAGGGCTTCTCGTTACATTTTCATGTATATAAGGATCGTCATAATCAGATTTATAATGACAAAGTTATGGCCTTTATAGTTCAAAAGAAACTTGAACACAATAAATCACAACATCAACAGTTCTTATTTATTAAGAACCAGAAGGTTTTCAAGTATACTTACATAACAAAACCTCTCTACAAATCACTCCTCTCATTACATAAAAACCTCACTACAGAAACTATCTAATCTACTCTCATACAACTATGTGAATCAAAAATAAGAACCGAAGTAAGAACAAGACTCTAAGAACAGATGAAGATGAGATGAACTAAGTAGAAGATAGATTCGTATATCTCTCACTCTCTCATACATAATCAATATATATGACATACAGACTATACGGGTTATCAAGTATCCATATAGACCCGCGTGTTACACCATTTTAATATACTTACAATTTCGGTCCAATACTTCCACAAAATGTTCAAGATATATCCTCCTGCACAAAACAATAATACATACAAGCAATATATATAAACAAGTGAATAACCACTTAATAACAAAAGGATACTTAGAAATGATATAATTATAAGTTTGTAATATTAACTCCTTATAATTCAACACCCCTCCTCAAACTTATAATTCAAATAAGTTCAACACTTATTCTGAAATGGATCAACAAGACCCAAACCTTTACAAATCCATTCATGCTGAGCAACCCCCAAAGGTTTAGTAAAAATATCTTCCAGATTAAAATCTGAACTCACCTTATGAACTTCAATTATCCCTTTTGATACCTTATCTCTTATGAAATGAGTATCAACATCAAAATGTTTTGTTTTCTCATGAAAAACTGGATTATGTACAAGTTTTATTGCTGACTCATTGTCACAGAAAATTGAAACATGAGTCAAATCTTTTAATCCAACATCAAACAATATTTTTAAAATCCACATAATTTCACAAGAAATAACACCAAGTGCTCTATATTCTGATTCAGTAGACGATCTAGAAACAGTTTCTTGTTTCTTACTTTTCCAGGAAACAATAGAATTTCCAAGAAATACAACATACCCTGTAACTGATCTTCTCGATACTAAACACTTAGCCCAATCAGCATCAACAAAACTTTTTAGATTTAAATTTCCTTTTGTAATTGAAAAACCCCTTCCAGGATTTAACTTCAAATATCTAAGTAATCTTATAGCCACATTAAAATGAGACTTTCTTGGAGAATGCATAAACTGACTCAATACTTGAACAGCATATGAAATATATGAACGAGTAATAGTCAAATAAATGAGTTTTCCAACCAACTTTTGAAAAAGAACAATATTTTGTACCAATGTATCATTAACATCAATTCCTTCTCCTCTAATCACAACATTACAGTCTAAAGGAGTCTTCACAGGTTAACAACCTAACATTCCAAACTCATGTAATAATCCCATACAATATTTTCTCTGACTTAAACAAACACCTTTATTAATGTCTATTACTTCAATTCCCAAAAAATATTTTAATTTTCCCAAATCTTTGATTAAAAATTTAGATTTTAAAAAATCTTTGACTTTATTGATTTCTTTATCACAATTACCACTCAAAATTATGTCATCAACATACACAGGTAATATGACAATATTACCATTAGAAGCTTTTATGAATAATGAGAAATCATTCACACTCTGAATAAAACCAAACTCAAGTAAAAAACCACATAATTTTTCATTCCACTTCCTGGGAGCCTATTTTAATCCATATAATGATTTTAACAACTTACAAACTTTGTTACTATTATTTTTATTATTGTAACCAAGTGGTAATGTCATATAAACATCCTCATCGAATTCACCATAAAGAAATGCATTATTTATGTCCAGTTGAAACAAATTCCAATCAAAATTAATTGCAAGAAAAATAACAATTCTGATACAAACCATTTTATTTTATTTAAAAAAACATTATTACAAGATATACCTGCCATATTAGCATTAGCATATACACCTTATGACAACTCTTTTTCATGAAGAAGAGACATCAACTTTGTGTATTGATCACTTGTTAAAAAATGATGACCAGACTTATCAGAAGAAACAACTGAAGCATTGGCATTAGTACTTTCAATAACATGAGAAGAAGTACTAGTCACAGCTGATGACTTATTAAACTCAAACTTGGGTTTAAAATCCTTAGGATACCTAATAAGCTTATAACATTTCTCAATAGTGTGACCCTTTATCCCATAATTCTTACATATTAAATTCTGATTTCTACCTTTAAATTTCTTGTTATCAGTAATTTTACCAGCAAAGGCAGAAGAATTTTGAATTTTAGTGGATAACACAGAAACACTTCCATGTTTCTGATTAGACTCTTCTCTAGAAACAATTGAAAAGGCAGTTTTAACATCAGGTAAAGGTTCCATTATAAGAATATGACTTTTAACTGGGTTATATGAATCATCAAGACCATTGAGAAATTGCATAAGTTTCATAAGCTTTGAATGATTTTTAGTATGAGTAGCTGCTTCACAAGTGCAATCTGGATACTTTGTTAAGCCATCAAACTCTTTCCATAAACCATCCAACTTATTAAAATAATCTGAAACAGACATACTGCCTTGTGTGAGACCATTAATTTGTTGATGAATGTTAAAGACAACAGAACCATCAACCTTAAAATAAGTTTCACAAAGTTCATTCCAAACATCTAAAGCAAACTCAGAACAAGCATGTCCAATGTAAATAGATTTAGAAAGTGAGTTAAGAATCCAAGAACATACAATAGCATTAACTATGTCCCACTTTAAAGATTTAACAGCATCCTAATTATCTTTTAATTATGTACCTTCTATAAACCCTTGTTTGTTCCTGGCTTTAAGACCTCTAGTCATTGAACTTTTCCAAACCCTAAAGTTTTTAGTACCAAGCAATTTGAAACTTATAGTAGTTGTCACAGAATGATCTGATGGATGCAAATAAAGTGGATCATCAAAATCAACAACATCACTTTTACTAGATGATTCTGGTGGTGTATCATCAAACAAATAACCAATAAAGAAATCAAATATGTTCAGAGAACCAAACTAAAAAAAACAATCACACTTTCTACAACAGTTCCTAGAATCTCAGACAAAAAAAACTATGATCAGAAGGAAAAAACTGATCTATCATGAGTTAAAGGACAAGAAAAGCGTGCGGAACTTACAGTGATCCTCAAAAACAAGCTCTGCAAGCAGCAATGTAGTTCCGATGATTCTGAAACACAGATTCACCGCTGAAAACTGAACCGGGCATTCAAATGCCAGAACCAACCTGATTTAGTACCTTGTTTGCACAGTCTTAATGTTGACCGTCGAGATATCGTTGATCGTTAAGATTAACGCAATGTTAACCCTAAACGTTTACTACTATCTTGAACGTTTACGCTTAAGACATGACAAGAGAACAACCAGATTGATGATTTCTTCACGTTTTTTACGATCTAAACAGATCCAAACAAACACTAGATCTATTTTCAGATCTAATGAACACCAGCTGTTAACAACCTGAATCAGAATCAGATCTAGAACGAAGATATAAAACCCTAACTCAAACTAAGCTAAATGACCTGAAACCCTAACTCGATCTAGACGACAACAGATCACGAATCAACGTAACCTCACTCTGATACCATCAAAAGAAACTTGAACATAAGAAATCACAACATCAACAATTCTTATTTATTAAGAACCAGAAGGTTTTCAAGTATACTTACATAAAAAAAAACCTCTCTACAAATCACTCTTCTCATTACATAAAAACCTCACTACAGAAACTCTCATCTAATCTACTCTCATACAACTATGTGAATCAAAAATAAGAACCGAAGTAAGAACAAGAATCTAAGAACAGATGAATATG